ACTGCACCTAGATGAATTTTAGAGTTTTTGATCCATCCTAAAGGGGCTACCTGATTTTTATCATCCAGCCATTTGAAATCTCTTTTGAGGTTGGTTTCTCTTCGAATAATCCTCTATTGCTCATCAGTCAGAAATTACATAGCCTGGGCCAGGCATGATGGCTCACACCTGCAATCCCAGCACTTTGGGAGGCCAAGGTGGGTGGATCACCCGAGGTTAGGAGTTTGAGACCAGCCTGGCCAACATGGTGAAAGCCTGCATCTACTAAAAATTTAAAAATTAGCTGGGTGTGGTGGCACACGCTGGTAATCCCAGCTACACGGGAGGCTGAGGCAGGAGAATCACTTGAACCCAGGAGGCAGAGGTTATAGTGAGCTGAGATTGCACCACTGTACTCCAGCCTGGGCAACAGAGTAAAACTCTGTCTCAAAAAAAAAAAAGAATTTACCTAGGCTGAGATTTATAGAAACAAAAGTAGATTAGTGGTTACCTGGGATTGAGGGTAGATGGGGATTAACTATAAATGAGATAAGGGATCTTATTGGGAAGGATGAAAGGGATTTATGGTGAGAGATGTACCACTCTGTGAAGTTACTAAAAATCTTTGAATTATACATTTGAAATAGGTGAATTTTATGGTATGTAAAATATATCTTAAGTTGTTTTTAGAAAGAGAGATAGGTCGGAATTCCTCCTGAATACAGAAAGCCTAGAATATTATTAAACTTTGCTTTTAAAACTAGATGAGATGGGAGATGGAGAGCCTCCGAATCATCAGCGCTGCAAGTGCCCTTAAAATGCTTCTGGTCTTTCCTCCCATTTTGTATAGAGAAAAAGTAAGGCCCATAGAGGCTGGAAGGTTAAGTAACCTTTCTGAGATTGTGTAAGGGGATTGTACTGCTGGAGCCTCCTTTCGGGTTTCTCTGCACCATTCCAGCAGCCCTGACGACCCCAGTGCAAAAACGCTTCCTCTAGACTCATGGAAAAATACAAGCACCTTCACAGTGTTCACTTATGAATATGACAGTTGAAACACCCAAGACTGCTCAGTGTGCGTTTTCGGGTTAGTGGATCTGTGCTGTCTCATGCTATTGCATTAGACAGCTACCAGCCTTATGTAGCTACTGCATGTGACTCGTCCAAATTAGTACATGCTCTAACTGTAAAATAAACACAGATTTTGAGTACTTGGTATGAAGAATGTAAACTCGTTAATAATTTCTATACTGATTACATATTGAAATATTTTAGATATACTGGGTTAACTGAAATATATTAACATAAAAAGAAAATGAGATGTGAATTCTCTACACCTTCAAACCATCACTTTGCCAGACTTTGAAACTGCCTCATTATGTTAACTTTTACAGGTATGAAAAGAATGATTCCTAAAAGTTCAATCATAATTGTTATCTAATAACTATTTTAATTCATTGTGAACATACACATATTCTCATAACTTATAAAATAGGAAACTTGAGAGATACTTTGGTCCGTTTCCTTGATTGCTCTGATGAAGCCCAAAAAAGGTAAACTGCTTAAGGTAACATGGGGACTTTGTGTCAGAGCATCCAGATGAGGCCTAAGAATGCCCTGCATTCCTTCTAATATAGGGTGATAGATGACTTTTAAAAATGTATAAAGCATCTAAAGGCTGCACCTAGAATAAGACTGAATTAATGATTTTGAAAATTTACATAAAAGCTTCTTTTTTCTTATTTAAACTAGGAAAATCTCTGCATGTTATCTTCAATCAAACTAAGAGACAAGAAACACATCTCTATTTTGGAAGGGAAATGGATGACTCCTATTCCTTTCATTATTGCTTTGAAAGAAGCTGGACTGAATATCTTTCCTACTAGATACTCTCATTTTTATGTTATTATAAACAATAAGGTAAGAATGAACCTTTCCAAATTTAATGCAGCAGACATTTAAAATGTTAGCAAATATTAAATGTTATGTAATTTAATATTATATAACTGTGTTTTATATATTCACTTATATACTATTATACTTAGAAATAGATGAAAAGACCAGAAATTCCAGGGTTCTCTTAAGTTTAATAATTTTCCCTAAGCAAATAAGCCTGTAGTATGGGCTTCATATTGACAGATGGAACATATCCACAGGTGATCAGTTTAGTGAAAAGGTAGTTTAAGCAATTCTCATTCTGTCTACTTTTTTTCCATTACTGGATATTATATAAGATTTCTTTAAAATGTAAATAACTCTGCACTTTCCCAAACATGGTAAGTTAGGCAAAATTAAAAGTACAAGGTCCACTAATGTACAAAACTGACTTCCTTTAGTTTTTTGGCAGAGCCTCCATGTCTATGTACTGGAACTTCATGTTCCTCATAAGGCTTTAGTCCAGTAAGATCCTTCTGAGTTAAACTGTGAGCTTCCTGAGGATGGGGGTCATTTCTTAATCAACTTTCATTCTTCTAGCATGTAGCACAGTCCTAGAATATAGTAGATGCTTAGTAAACATTTGTGATATGCAAAGACACAAAGTAACTTCTAATCAGGAAAAGTGTATTTGTAGGCAGAAGAGTTCTATATTCAAGAAGATTAATGAATGTATCAGAAAATGACAATATAAGTAGGTATTTCTATAACATTTGGAAATAATAAGTGTATGTACCTATACGCATAGGAAAAAACCCTTGCTTTTAGTAACCCAAATTGCCTGTTACTCTTCAGTGTTGAATATAGTGTTCTGCTCATGCTTTCAGAATATTCTATGCAAGGAAATATTTTTTTCTGAACACCTACATGCTAGGCACTATTTTAGATGATTAGAATACATCAATGAATGAGACAAAGGTCCTTACCTTTGTTTTCCTTCAGAGTCGAAGGAAAAAGAATTTAAAAATAAATGATTAGTATGTTAAGGTGAAACGGCTATGGAGAAAAGAAAAGGTACATCAGGAATAGTGGGGTTGAGGCCGTATGACACCCATATTAAATAGGTGTCAGGGAGGGCAGCTCTGTGAGAGAGAGCACTTGAGCGAAACTCACAGATGGGGACTTTAGCCACGTGCGTATCTGGGGAAGCAGCTTCCAGGTAAACAACTGGAGCAAGAGCCCCGATGGAGTGGCCTGGTGTGCTAGAGGATTGGAGGAACACCAGGGAAGCATGGGGCTGGAACTGAGAGAACAAAGGGAGAAGAAAAAGAGATCAGCAGTCAGGAGGAGGGATGCCAGAGGGCCTTGCAAGTCGTTAACTTTGGATTCTATTCTCAGAAAAAGGGGAAGCCATTGCCCAGTGCTGAGAAAGGAGTCATGCACTCTGACTTAAAATTGTAAGTGGATCCTTCTGTGTTGATAATAGACGGAAGGAGGCCAAAGATGGAGGTAGACTTGGGAGGCTCAAAGATCAATTCTATTTGTTTATATATTGACAGGTTCCTTTGGTAGAAGTGAAAGCTTATCGACAGATGGCCCTACTAAGTTCTGCTTTTGCATTTGGTTGGAGCAGGTGGAACCTACTATGTAATTCTACAAAAGTTGTATTTAAGGTATAATATGTAAAAACCCATAAAACTACTTTGTCCTCCAAAAGAAAACTACTCAAAGACTAAATGAATGTAGACCAAGGCTTCCCCTCTTAGAAAGGTTAAAAAGAAATTTTAAAATGCCATATCGAATGTTAAGTTTTTTTTTGTCAAAAATATAAATCCAAACTATATAAAGTTTATGCCTTGTTGTCCATTATGGTATCAGTAATGGACTTCAAGCCAGGCCAGAGTCTTTGTTATCTCTTTGCAAATTGACTCAAGAACAAATGGAAGCCTTGCTGGGTGCAGTGGCTCACACCTGTAATCCTAGCCACTTGGGAAACTGAGGTGGAAGGATCGCTTAAACCCAGGAGTTTGAGGCTGAAGTGAGCTATGATCACACCAACTGTACCCGAGCCTGAACAACAGAGTGAGGCCCCCATCTCTAAAAAAAAGAACAAATAGAAGCTTTTAACATGAGTATGTCTGTGACTTATAAGCCTTCTCTGAGAGGGTTAGTCCTCCATCTTAACTTTCTGATGCCTTCTTATTGTTATCAGGTAGTAAGTATATCTTATCAAATTCCAGAAAGGACTGATGAATGTTTTGGCCTAAACAAGCAATCATCTTTGTTTCTCTTGTTTGTTGTGTGTTTCCCCTACTCAAAGCTCCCTGAGGGCAGGGCTTTCCTGTTGCAGTTGCTATTTATATATGCTGTATGTCTATATTTTTTCTGTGTTTTCTTTCCCTGTTACATCCCGAAAACTTAGAACAGTACCTCACACATGACAGGCACTAAATATTTGTTGCATGAATTAATACAGGTGGATAAGCTCCATAATCACCAAAATATAAATAGTGTCATGGTTTTTCAATACCCAATAATGGAATACTTAGATTGTTTCTTTTAACCTTTGCAATTTGGGGGTAAATTGAACCCTTCAATTAATAATCTACTTCCAAAATATTGAATAGAAGAATTATTAACAAGTTGCTTGAATTTCCTTTTTTTTTTTTAGGTGAAGGAACACCTTACTGAAGAATGTACTGAGACTCCTAATTGGGCCATTTTAATGTTTAGTGGTGACAGGGCACAAAGACTTAAGATCACAGAAGAGAGTGAGGCATTTTCTGAAGCACTTAAAGAAGAAACTGAGTTTCATTCTACTTTATATCACATGCTGAAGGATTGTGCTTCTAAGGAAGCAATGGAGAAAGTCAGGAGTTCCAACTGTCAGTTTGTCAACTCTGTGTGCCACATGCTGCTCTCTACCAGATTGCTCAGCTATTCCTAACCGCCGCTTACGAACTGTATTCAGCATGAAGAACCAAGCATGGCGAGAGACAGGTACTTCGGTAACAGAATGTAATGAGTGAGTTAATACATTTCAAATAGACTATTAAAATTTTCTAATCGGCATTTTCTACTCATTTTATTTTAAAGTATTTTTTTTCTTTTGAATACTTGGACTGATGAGAATTTTAACTTTCACTCTGTGAAGATTTAAATGATTCTTTATTTCAGTAAAATTTAACAAACAATATATAATATTTCTTCCTTAAAAATCTCATTCAAAGATCATAGACTTCTTCCCTGTTGTATTTTAGTTGGGGAGATAAAGGCAAAAAGAGGAAATGTAAGCTTTCTTACAGTCATTCTGAGAACCTCTGGTTTCAGGCTTTACTTTCCCAGCTAAAAGCTACTAATTTTACAAAGTTCAGATACTCAAACTTCAAAATCAAGATCCATTTATTAGGATGTTCTGCTGTCACACTGGTGGTGGCCCATTGTGTCGGAGTCTGGTAAATGGCCACAAGATATGTTCTAGGGACGTCCACGAGTCCTCTTCCTGTGTGGGAGCGGCATCCACAGACTTCTGGAAGAATCGGCCTGTGAGGAAGCTCATCAAAGCTGCAAACAGTACAATGAATGCAAGAGAAAGCCAGACAGCCTTATTAGCCTTTCTGATGGAAGACTTGAGATGTGTTGCCCAGGAAGCTATCGTGTCATAACTATAAGGAAAACAAACAGAATTTGGTAATCAGTAATTTGTCATTAGAAACATTCCTTTTGCTAACAACACCAATCAAGTGATCTGCCCTTCATACCCCTAATACTGCCTTTTACTCTACATATTATGATTTATCATTTTGGTTTTGGAAACAATCTGCCTTACTATTTGTAATTATTAGGATTAAAGAAATGATGTACTATGATGAGAATCTGAAAATTATGTGATATAGGCATTAGCTTCCAGCAAGTACATACGAGTATCTCATTCTTTCAGTAAGGTAAGGCAACATATTCCTACAGTGGAAACAAAAATGTTATTTGCTGGGTAGAGGGGAGTGTATGTGTATGTACTTATGTATGTATATAATACTCCTCTTTTATTCTTGTGGGTATGCTCCAAGACCTCCAGTGGATGCCTAAAGCTGAAAATAGTACTAAACCCTATATATACTGTTTTTTCCTATGGATACATGCCTATAATAAATTGATTTTATGAATTAGGCACAGTAAAGATGAACAATAACATAGAATAATATATAACAATATGTTACAGTAAAAGTTATGTGAATGTCATCTGTCTCTCAAAATATTTTACTATATTCACCTATTTTTGGATTGCAAAAGTGAAACCACAGGTAAAGGAGGACTAAAATTTAAACTCCATTTGTTTTAAAAACATCCACCAATAATACGTATTATACCATTTAAGTCTTTGAAAAATAGTTAACCCTGTGCTAGATACTACTAAGATTTTACATGTGCTAATTCATTTAATCGTGACACCAACACAGTGACATGGGTACTATTAGCATCTTTATAAAGAAATTTTTACACAAAAATGGATGAACTTGCCCAGGTTACACGGCTCGTTGGAGGGCTGGAATTCAAACCTAGGCTATCTGGGTTCGGAGTCAAGTTCCTATAAACTCTCCTGCCGCCTTTGTAACATAGGTTCAAGGAAAAATAGACATACTAAATGTGTTATTCATCTTACATGTAGCAATTTGGCATGTCTTTTAGTAATTTGGTTAAGATTAATACTGTCAGCCCTGCCTCATCCTTTTCCATTCTACTAAAATGGTAGAATTTTCAAGTAGATAACTTACACTGAAGAGACATCCTGCCTTGATGGATGATTTTTCTTTTCAGAAAGACTTGGCTTCCTTGTCCTTTCTACTATTTCTTCTCCATGTGGCTCTGAGTCATCTTTAGTTCTGTAAGTAAATATTGTTTTTAATATTTGAAACTAAGGATATGCTATAATTATTCACAAAATACTGGTAATCTTACTGTAACTCAAGAGGCTCACAAATATTTGTTCTGTTTTGGGGAAACTCAATAAATATCTAACTCTAGAAGTCAAATCATCAAATTTATAATTAAAACATTTATAGAAATTTAATTTAAAAATAGCTTCCTATATTTAGAAAAATAATGTTTGTGTAGAAAGTTATAGCCAAATATATATAAAAAGGGGGAGATTTAAAAAGAACATACAGAAGTTAGTCTCACCGCTCATCATTAACCAATGTTATTCCTGTGATTTCTTTCTCTGCATATAGATATGGTATGCATGTTTAACCATACTTTATTAAACACTTTAATCTCAGCACTTTGAGAGGCCAAGGAGGGGGACTTCTCCCAAGGTTCTTAGGACTCTAGGTATTGCTGGAGCCCTGGAATTGGAGGCTGTAGTGACCTGTAGTTACCTGTAGTTACACCACTGCATTCCAGCCTAGGCAACAGTCAGAATCTGTCTCAAAGAAAACTACATGTATGTGTATATATTCTACATACCCATATTTATATATTATATACACATATATATTCATATTTATATAATGTATATTATAGAAATGTGTATACCCATGTAAATATGTGTATACATATATAATATTTTATATAATATGTAAAAATTTATGTAATACATTTTATATGTGTACATATATAAATACGTGTGTGTGTGTGTGTGTGTGTATATATATATATATATATATACACACACACACTTTTTTAAGAGAGTCTTACTCTGTTGCCTAGGGTGGAGTGCCATATATATAAATATATGCTATATATACACATATTTATATATAAAATATATATACATATTTTTATATATATACACTTATATATCATACAAAGTTTATAATATAAAAATGTGTATATATATTCTATATGTATATATAGTATATAACAAATATGTGTATATATAAATATGTATATGGCTTATATGTATATATTATATATAAATAGGTATGTATATTTCATATCTGGGTGTGTATAACAAATGTGGACACCATATTTCTTTTAAATTTTTATTTAAATCTTTTCTCATTATTGATTTTATTCCTTTCTTTGATTTCTAATCAGTGCTAACTTGGAGTATCATCAGAGTTCATTTGTTTTCTCTGAAAATCTTAATTTAAAAAGTGTTTTTGAAAATATTCTCAATGTAAAACTAGTTAAAATGAAAGGTTAGTTAAAATAAATTAATATTCAGTGAACTGGGAAATAGCAATTGGATTGACTGTATTTTAAATCAAATTATATTATTTAAAGAGGTATTCCTACATCTAAACAAAACAATTTTTCCACTATATTTGCTGATGAGTTCCTAGTTGGATTTGAATTTTGAAATCTCAAGCTCTTAATACGCTAAGAATTGTCAAAGAGAAATGTGTCTCAAAGATTTATTTTCATTCAAACATCTATAGGAAATACATATGATAGACTTTATTTTTTAAAGAAAACAAGGCCCAAAAGCCAGAATAAATTGCATTTAAGATTCTCAAGGTTTCAGTCTTTTGTTTACAAAGACTTCCTTAGTAGAAATGATATCATACTAACACAAAGCAAAAACTAGATAATCTTTTGAAAGAGACTCTTTTTTTTTTTTTTTTTTTGAGACAGAGTTTCGCTCTTGTTACCCAGGCTAGAGTGCAATGGCACAATCTCGGCTCACTGCAACCTCCGCCTCCTGGGTTCAGGCAATTCTCCTGCCTCAGCCTCCTTAGTAGCTGGGATTACAGGCACATGCCACCATGCCCAGCTAATTTTTTTGTATTTTTAGTAGAGACGGGGTTTCACCATGTTGGCCAGGATGGTCTCGATCTCTTGACCTCGTGATCCACCCGCCTCGGCCTCCCAAAGTGCTGGGATTACAGGCTTGAGCCACCGTGCCTGGCGAAAGAGACTCTTGAACTGACTTTTTTTTTCCAACCAGCTCAAAAAGATTCATGATGTTAATTCTAAATCTGAAAAGACTTTGTGACACATGCAATAGGCTCCCAGGACTTAAAAATAAAAACTCTTTGAGGGTTGCACCATGTTGTGCTCAACTTACTTTATATTCCTTAGAGTTGAGCAGCGTGTCCATCACATGGTAGGCACTCATGAAAATATATAAACTAAACATAAAATCATTTCCATAACATCTGTCATTTTAACAGATGTAAAACTGAGACCAAGTAAACTTAGGCAGTTTTTCCAATGTCACCCAAGGACTCAGAGGTAGCATTTCTGCATATCCTCCTTCTTGCCCTCTACTTTTCTCTATAGAAGTATATTTGTTTCATTTACTATATACAGAGATAGCAATACAGAATTTCATGTTTCCTCTACTCTTCATTTACATAAATGGAAGATAGATGTACATACACATTATATATCTGCCTGTATGTTATATAATACATATGTTATATATCTCATGTCTTTAAATAGATGGACATTTTACTTCTGTTGCTCTTTACTGACCTTTCCCCATTATGGACAGACACCTGGACAGGAAAAAAATTACCTTCACAAATATGGCAAATTCCAGGGTCTTTTCTAACATAAGTGCTCAAACTTTGCCATTCTGAGAGCTACAAGACTGAATGTATTATTGTGCTTTACAGTTTATAAAAATTTTTTAGTGAATTATCTTTTTAATGATACAACATTATCTTATCTCCATGGAATAAAAGTTATTCCCATTGTTTATGCCCCAGTTTATGTCAGGTTAATAAACACACTGAGCTTCACCTACTTTAGTTCACATTTTTCTTCTTCAGCATCTGCCCAGGAATAGGTGCTAATAAATCGAGGTAATGAGGGACGGTGTTCACTCTGCTTTGACCCCAAAATACGCCTAAATAAAGACGATTATAGCCACTCGTCAAATCAAATACATCTGTAGCCATTATCACTTTTATTTCCTACCGCTTAAATAAATACAAAATTATATGTCCTATTTTTTTTTCTTGGCACATTCACAGATCATAATAAAAAACTTCATAATTATATACCAGTTTGTCTAATTATTCTGTTTATAGTTTGTACAAATCAAATGTTACTATATCACTTAATTCGAGCACTCATTTAGTTTAGCCCAAGTTAAAAATAGTAAGGTTTCCAAAGTGGAACCATGAAATTACACTTACCAACTGCTTGACCTCCTACTGAATCGGTCATTATTTTCCATCCCAGCCACCTTTAGAAGTTCAAGTGTTAAAAGAAATGATAAAATACACGTTTATATTTTCTGTCATATGAAAATGAATTTCCCCTTGACTAAGAACACTTAGGAATTGTCTTACCATTCCTGCAGTTCCAATATTTCTGGGTAAAGAGGCAATAGTCACTCTTCGAAGAGAAGATGGCTGGCAGAAGGAGAAAAACGTACATTTAGATAACTCTCAATAATTTATCATTGTATGCAATACCAGTGAATATCCTTGTACATGCACATCCATGCACTTGACCACTGCTGAGTTAAACAGTAGACATAACTTAAAAGGACCTTCTTGTGGACAAATTGTTTTCCAGACATATTTTACCACTTTATATTCCACCTAACTCAATGTTGGATTATTATAATTTATGCCAATAAAACAAATATAAGATTCCTTGTTTGGGTTTGAAATTATTTGACTTCTATTACTATTGAACATTGCTTTTTTATGTTAAATAATCATGTATATATCTTCTCTGGAACCACCTGTTTATGTTTACCATCTTTGTTCTATATTAATTATTGTTTATATTGTATTTGGTCTATATTGAATTTTCATATTTCTGGCAGAAAACTTTATTGTTAATCCAGCCAAATCTATTCGTCTCTTTTGCTACCATTGCTTCTATGCTTAGAAAGACTTCTCCCAACTCAAGAGGAGATAAATATGCACCTACATGTATAGCTTTTTTGTTCATAGTTTCATTTTTTCCATTTAACACATTTAAGGATGGCCATGTTTTAATGAATGAATGAGTTTCTTGAGCTTTGTACAAAAACGTTATATAATATTGTGTGGTTCTTAAAGTTTAAATACATCAACGGAATATAAAATTTTTTAAAATATAATAAACCAATTTAAGGAGGTTGCATGTGAATCATTTTCTTTATCATCCCTACTTTAATTTCATGGATTAGTTGAGCATCAAGAGTATGAAATTGTGGCCCAAGAAACTTGGTTTCTAATCATGCTCCTACCAATACATGATCATAACTGATCACTTCTTTGTTTCTCTTCCCTCATCTGTGAAAAAGAGGGATTTGTATGGAATGATTTTAAAGTCACTTATTCAAAAAGTCTATATATCGGTGTAATCCTGATTTTTACACAGTGGCAAAAACTACCAGCTGACCTTCAGTATCACATTCTTCCTTCTTAGTTAATAATAAGCCTCCTGATTTTTAGCTAGGCATACAGCCTCCTGAAAAGAAACTGTACTTTCCAGACTCATATGCAACCAAGAATGGAAAGAGAAATGTTATTTTGGACTTCTAGAGAATGTCATTACAGGGAGATGGAACACTTGTTGCTTCTCCCTTTTTCTTGGAATGAGATGATGTAATGATGAGGGCGTGCTGCCTTGCTCTGAAGTAGGCATTTTAGACCCTGAGACAGAAGCCAAGGGCTGAGGGTAGTGAGGCAGCAAGAAAGGAGGCTGGTCCCTCAGGAGTGCTGCTGTGCCACTGTTGGGTTACCCGTTTCCAACTTTAGTTTTATACAACAGAAACCATTATTCTACTGACTCTCTTCATGCTGCCAGGCACACTTAATTAATACACAAATATAGCAGAAAGCATAAAAGCATACTTAGATAAACAAATACATCTATATGAATTTAAATCACTATTTTGTTATTTACATATAAAGGCCTGGAGCTTCAAATAACATTTTAAAACCATCTTGTAAGTATTTGATAGACATTTGTTAAGTGAGTTGGTAATTACCTTGGAGTTTAGAGAAGCTGAACGTTTTTTAATTTGGCAGTCATCTGAAAGGAAAAACACATTTACACATTTTAGCTATTGCACATGCAATTTATGTTTAAGCAATGTCTTAATTCTTTAAAGGTAAAGCAAAATTCACAAAAGATTTATTAAGACTTTAGAGACTACTGAGCAATATGTGTCTGTTTATCATTCATTTCATGCGTCATAACAATTACCATCTTAACCAATGGAATACAGTCCTCCGTGTCTCTGTGGTGTCAGCAGTGCCTAGCTAGCACAGGGTAGGCACTACATGAGTGTCTGCTGGAGAAAGGAATCTAAAGTACCGTTCAGGAGAATATCAAATATGGTTGCTGTTCTAGAACAGGGAACAGATTCTTGAAATAAGAATTCTCAGAAAAGTTCATATTTATTTTAAATAAAACTATGGTATGATTTATAGAAACAATATGTTATTCCCCATAGCCTCATATGGTTCTCTGTTTTCCAGTTTATCCATCAGCTTACTGAGCCAGGGTCATTCCTTCCTTGAGGAATCAACCATTGCTGATGAGAGCTCCCATTTAAGTGACTTCTCCTTAAATTATTTGTTATTTCTAATGTATAGAAATTCTAATGTATCCTCAATAGGGGAACACTAAGGTCAACTTCATCAGTTGGATTAAACATATTCTGTCATCTCAGTAATCTAAATTAATAAATTTTGGTATCATTACCAAAGAATTCTTCATGTCTCCCAACCTTTCTGACACCTTACTTTTGGCTATATAAATAACAGGAATTAAATATTTTTCTAATATAACCTTAACCTAAGAGTCTTATTGTACTAAAGTCATAATAAGACTGAGAGAACAAGAAAGAGGAGAATGTAAAAAAACATAAGTAATACTATGATCTTAAATTTTTATTACCGTCATCTTCAAGAGGATTGAAAGACCGTTCATTCTGCAGAAGGACCTGTTTGAGTTCTTCTAATTCAGCATGCTCTTTGGCATACATCCTCTTCAAGTTTTCTACATGCTGAATCATCACTTCAACTGCTTTACTAACCCGGCTTTCCTAGCAAGAGAAAAATGAGCACATTTACATGGAAAATACTATTCTCAATTCTCAAAAGATGGTGATTAAACACATTTACCTTCATTCTATTCCTAGATCTCACTACAATGGCAATAAATGGTTTAATAAAACAAACACATGCATCTACAAGTGCAAACAGAAGAAAATATGACAACAAGACTTTGAAAGCTGGATGGAAGGACTAGTGGCAAGTAACTAAGAGGTAGAAAAGCTGAACCCTAAAAAAGGCAGTAAGAAAAGCCTAGAAGCTACCTAGGTTGCACCTCAATAAGTTTGAAGGTGGGCATCTGAACAAAAGAAATGGTCGAAAGTCTATGTTTAAAAAAAAAAAAAAAAAATTGGCCGGACGCATTGGCTCAAGCCTGTAACCCCAGCACTTTGGGAGGCCGATGTGGGTGGATCACAAGGTCAAGAGATCGAGACCATCCTGGTCAACATGGTGAAACCCCGTCTCTACTAAAAATACAAAAATTAGCTGGATGTGGTGGCACCTGCCTGTAATCCCAGCTTGGGAGGCTGAGGCAGGAGAATTGCTTGAACCCAGGAGGCGGAGGTTGCAGTGAGCCGAGATCGCGCCATTGCACTCCAGCCTGGGTAACAAGAGCGAAACTCCGTCTCAAAAAAAAAAAAAAAAAAAAAAATTAGATCCAGAGATCTCCTCCTTACTCTGGCCAGCAGAGCAATTTTCCCTCCACTATTTTGGTGAAAGACTATATGCAGTTGGCTATCTAGAGAGAGTTAACTTGAGGTTCTACAGATTGGGAAAGAACAGTTGATGATGGATCTATCATGATGAAAACAACAGATTTAAGCAAAACTCTATATTCATATTGAATGTTAAGATCCAGCCTTAGTCCTCCTCCTTTCAGCCTCCAAACACTGGCAGCCAGAGTTACACCCTCAAGGCGGCAGTTGGAAGGTTTTTCTCTGGTGATTCTAACATACTAAGGTAAAAGTCCTATAACTGCTGGCATTAGGAGTACCCCCATGAAACATTTGGAATGTTCGTAGTGCTTTGAATATTTGTGTACACGTATCTGAGTGCCTGTTTTCAATTATTTTGGGTATATATCTAGGAATGGAATTGCTAAGTCATATGGTAATTCCGTGTTTAACTTTTAAGGATCCACCAAACTGTGTTCCACAGTGGCTCAACCATTTCACATCTCCCAGCAATGTACAGTGTCTGCATTCTCCTCACATCCTCACCAACACTATTCCTTCTTTGCTTCCTCCCTCCCTCCCTTCTTCCTTCCCACCTTCCTTCCTTCATTCTTTCACAATAATCATCGTAGTGGGTGTGAAGTGGTATCTCATTGTGGGTTTTTTTTTTTTTTTTTTTTTTTTTTTTTTTTTTTTTTTAGACAGAGTCTTGCTCGTCACCCAGGCTGGAGTACAGTGGCATGATCTTGGCTCACTACAATCTCTGCCTCCTGGGTTCAAGCAATTCTGCCTCAGCCTCCCAAGTAGCTGGGACTACAGGTGCGCACCACCATGCCCAGCTAATTTTGGTATTTTTAGTAGAGATGGAGATTTGACCATGTTGGCCAGGCTGGTCTTGATTGCTTGACCTTGTGATCCACCTGCCTCGGCCTCCCAAAGTGCTGGAATTACAGGTGTGAGCCACCGTGCCCAGCCTCATTGTGGTTTTGAGGATGTTAAGCATCTTTTCACCTGATTATTGGCTGTTTATCTTCTTTGAAGAAATGTCTATTGAAGTCTTTTGCCCATTTTTTAAATTCAGTTATCTTTCTGCTGTAAGAGTTCTTTATGTATTCTGTATACTAGCTTCTTATCAGATCTATGATTTCCAAGTGTTTTCTCCCATTCTGAGATTGTCTTTTCACTTTCTTGACACTGTCCGTTGAGGCACAAAAGTTCTTAATTTTGATGAAGTCTATTTTTATTGTTGCTTTTGCTTTCACATACTCAGCAAATATTTATTGACCACCTGTGATGCATTAGGTACATTTCAGGCATGAGGAATACAGCAGTGAACCATACAAATACTCCTGCCTTCATGGAGCTTATATTCTAACAGGAGGAGACAGACAATAAAGATGTCAGAACACATAGTATGTTAGGAGGTGATCAGTGCTATGAAAATCGAAATACAGGAAAAGGCATGAGAAGCTCTGGGGTAGAGAGAGATTGAAATTTTACATAGAATGTCATGGGAGTAGGCTATTCTGTAAATTGACATTTGAACAGGGCTTGAATAGGTGAGGGCTAAGACATGTAGATAGATGCCTAGAGGAGGAGTGTTCTAGGCAGAGGGAACAGCTAGAGCTGGGTGGCTGAGGTGGCAGGGTGCCTGGCCTATCTGATGAACAGCAAGGAGGCAGGTGTGGTTTGTAATGTGATAATCCAGGAGGACAGTCATAGGAGATAGAGACCAAGAGGGCAGAGGGCAGGGGAATTGCGCACATCTGTTCTTAGAGATGGAGTCTTGCTCTGTCCCAGGCCGGAGTGCAGTGGCATGATCTCAGCTCACTGCAACCTCCGCCTCCCAGGTTCAAGCAATTCTCCTGCCTCAGCCTCCCAAGTAGCTGGAACTACAGGTGAGTGCCACTAGTAGAGATAAGGTTTCATCATGTTGGCCAGGCTGGTCTCGAACTCCTGACCTCGTGATCCACCTGCCTCGGCTCCCAAAGTGTTGGGATTACAGGCGTGAGCCACTATGCCCAGCCGCACATCCTTTCAAACCACAGTAAGACATTGGTTTTCACTCTTAAGTAAAATGAGGAGCTTTAGGACATTGAACCAAAAAGTAACATAATCTACATTTTAAAAAATGTAATGAGTGACTTAACATATTTCAAATAGACTATTAAAATTTTCTAATCAGCATTTTCTAAAGTTTTAAAGTATTTTGGCTGCTTTATTAAGGACAGACTATGTTGAGGGGAGGGTCTGGGATTGGATGGAAGCAAGGAGACCATATAGAAACCTGTTTCATTAATCTGGACAAAATAGAATGGAGGCTGAGATCAAGATGGTAGCAGTAGAAAGGGAAATATGTGGTTGTATTTTGAATGTATTCTGACAGTTCAGCCAATAGGATTTGCTGTAGGATTTAATGTGAAGTGAGAGAGAAAGGTGTTGAGAATTATTCCAGCTGCCTCCGTCCCCCATTTTGGCCTGAGCAACTGAAAGGACAGAGCTGCCCTGAAGTGAAATAAGGAGCCTACACATGGAGTAGGTTTGGTGGAGGACCATGAACAGTTCAGTTTTGAATGTTAGGTTTGAGTTTATCAAACATCCAATTGGAATTGTTGAGTCAGCAGTGGCATATTCTGGTCTGGAGCTCAGGGGAGTGGGTTAAGCTAAACATACGAATTTGAGAGTCCTCAGGTGACTGCCTGGGATCACAGGGGGACTGCGTGCACATGGACATCAAATGTGCACGAATGGAGTCCCAGGGCTCTTCGATATTCAGAGCTCCAGGAGAAGGTGTAGAACTGCAGGAAGCCTGGAAGGAGCAGCCTGTGATGCAGAGAAAGGCCAGGGGATGTGGTTTCTGGAAGGTAAATGAGGAAAGCATTTCCAGGAAGACGAAGACATCAGCCACGACAGATGAGGACTGAGAAACTGAAGCTGGTAATGTGGAGGCCACTGGTGACCTTGGCAAAATCTGCTTTGTGGAAGCAAAAGGTTGATTAGAGTGGGTTTGAGAGAACTTGGGAGGAGAGAGACTGAGCACAGTGAGTACCATTCTGTCGAGGTTTGCTGTACATGGGAGCAGAGAAACAGGGTGGTGGCCAGGAAGGAAAGGATGAAAGGTTATTTTGTTTGTGTCTGTTTTACGTTATTATTCCCATCTAGAAAACAACATATTATTTGTGTACTGATAGAAATGGTTCAGTAGAGTGGAGAAAACAGAAATGGAAAAAAGTCAGGAGTGTAAATTAGTGGGGAAGGCTCCCATCTTCGTGGGGAAGGCTGGCCTTGGATAGGGTTAGAGACAATGCATCTTTAGGAATCGGAGCAAGGCAGTGTGTAAGGGTTCACAGGCCGGGAGGCTCAGGGCTTGTGGCAGTTTCCTTTGATTGTCCCAGTTTCCTCAGTGAGGTAGGAAGCAAAGTCATTACCTGTGTTTGAGAGAATATGGGGAAGGACATGACAGTGGTTTGAGGAGAAAGGAAAGGGTGTGAAATTGATATTTAAAAGAGAAGGAGGGTGAGTGAAGGGAAGCCTCAAGGACCCGCTTGAGGTTTGTGATAATGAATTTAAAGAGAAACAGGTCAGTATGGGAATGTGGCATTTTCCAACTATGCAGGCACAAGAGGTGGAGAAGCAGATTCATTTGCAGATTTGCCCAATGAGTAAGGTAAAACAAGAAAAGGAAAAGTGTTGAGGGCTCATGCAAGGTAGTGAAAACTGTGTTTAACCGTAGAGTGTAAGCTTGGCCAGGAAGGCAGGGTGGCCAACTGTAGCGTGAGGGACAGTGGGGACAGTGAAAAGGGGTGTGGGAGGCGGGTGGGCAGAGATTGATAAAAGAACGAAATATTCATCTTCATAGTGGGAGAGCAACAGATAATACCTAAAACTGAAAATAAATCACTAAATGATAGCATGAGCATGTTATTTAAAAATGTGAATGCAAATACAAAACAAGTAAGACAAAAAAATTGAAAGTTGTTTCTCTAGATTATGGGAAATTAGGCTTATAGAGCTGATTGACCTTTTAAAAAAACTCTGTGCATATACAATTTTAGTAAAAATGAAACAAATAATAACAGTATTCTCTAGTGAGGAGTTAAAAGGGAACTAAGGAGTAAAAATGTATAACAAATGATCAAACTAAAATTACCACCACAATTAAATTTCTCTTTCTTAAGAAAATATATTTTAACAAATCTGCTTAGGTATAGATTAAAAAAAAAATCATATCTCCTCAGGTTTGTCCACAAGGAAATTTTGGAATTCTGCTTCTCTAAGGACAAGTACACACAGATGCATATACAAGGATACTTACTGTAGCATTGTTTATAACAGAAAAATATCAAGAACATCATAAAATGATTAAATATAAGGAATTTGTTAAATAATTGATAACCACTCAACCAGTAGAACACCATAAAATGGTGATATGTGTGTATATATTTATATCACACAGAAAGTTGCCTATGTTATATGAATAAAAACACAGATTATAACACTATATAAGGGATTATAAACACTACATTATACTATGTATCTTGAAGAATATCACAAAATTTGTATGATTGTCACTGGCTTGTGTTATTAGAAGAGTTTTTTACATTTTTATTTGTATATTCCATTTTCTTCTATATTAAACACTTACATGTTATACAACAAAAGTATTTTTTAAAACTTATTCCTAGAAATGAAAAATCAATAGTCTCAGGAAAAATGAATCTTTTTGTAATTTCATTCTAATTAGAGAAGTGAAGACAGGTTACCTGGTTGATGGCTCCCAACATCTCAGCCCTACTGGCCACTCGAGCTGTGCACTGGCTAAGAAACTTTATACTCTTCTCCAGCTTCTTAATGATTTCCTGTGCCTGGTTGTCATCTTCACACAGAGGTGTTAAAGACTGTACAGAAAACAAGCATATTAAAAGATATCCAACACAAGTGTTCAGCGAGTGAGTCTAACACTGCTTAAGTCGCAAATGTCAATGACATTCTAATCTTAATTATTTTGGTGGAGGATGAAATGAAGCAGCAAAGACCAATAATGAATGATACTGATATATTAGTATCTTTGTTGCCTACTGGGTAGATACATGCAGGTGATCACAAATCTTTTATTTCTATTCTTGATCCCTTATTTCTTTACTTCCCAAATTTGCTACTTCCTTACATGCATTCACATCTTTCTTCTACAGCTAATAGGATGGGCTGCAATTAATTAGTAATGGCAAAGGGATTATAAATGAGGTGAACGTATCATATGAGGAGCATAGGTTGAAATTTTGAGAAATGTAACCAAACATATTGGAATTAAAAATGTCTGTGACAACTATGCTTGTTCTTCTACAGACGATAAGGTATGATTGGGCCAGGTAGGTGAGTATACATTCATTGCCTTATGAATTTTCTTCTCAATCTTGTGCCCTTTATTCAAGATGACACCCTTCCTGATGAACATCTTTCTCACCAGAGTACAGACAGGATTAAGTGAATAACAGATTTGGAAGCAGACAAGACACTGCTCATGACCTGTGTGATTGTAAGCAAATGTCTAAAGCTTTCCCAAATCTAAAAGAGCATGAATTATAAAAGATACCATGATTTTGTATATCATTAAGAAAGAAAAAGTTGTCAATAAAACCATTAGGCACCACTGACTGTAAATTGCATTATAATTTTAGAAATGTTAAAAAAAAATCAATCTTTCTGATTTGCTGTTTCCTCATCTGTCAGATGGAGACAATCACATATCCTCTCCAGGAATACTGTCATATGAGAGGTAAAAGATGCCAACTGCTTGTCACACATTTGTGCTCAGTGAAAGACAATCACTTTTGAAATACACAGATATGTATAAATTGTAGTTAGAGAGTTTCTAACCAACTAGAATGGCAATTGTCAGACATGCAGTTTGTTACAGTGGTTTAAACCACCATCTCCAGTTGGGAAGGAAAGAACAGAAGTGAATTGTTAGCAAACAGAGTATAGTCAACCAGGAGTAAGCCATAAAGAAATAAGAGAATCTGAACAAACTGATAACTAGTAAGAAGATTGAATCAGTAATCAAAAATCACCCAACAAAGAAAAATCCATGACTGAATGGCTTTGCTGAAGAATTCTACCAAACATTTAAAGAATTAATGCCAATCTTCATAAAACTCTTCCCAAAAATTGAAGAAGAGGAATACTTCCAAGCTCATTCTATGAGGTCCACATTACTTTAATACCAAAGCCAGAAAAAGACGTTACAAGAAAAAAAAAAAAAAAAAAAAAACCACTACAGACCAATATCTCTGATAAATATTAATGTAAACATTCTCAACAAAGTACTAGTAGACCGAACTCAAAAGCACATTAAAAGGATTATACACCATGTACAAGTAGGATTTATTTCTCTAATGTAAGGGTGGAAATCAATCAATATAACATACCACATTCACAAAAAGGAGGACAAAAACCATATGGTCATTTCAACTGATGCAGAGAAAGCATGTGGTAAGATTGAACACTTTTATGATTAAAAACACAAAAACTAGGAACACTGACAAAAAAAATGCATTAAAACCTCCAAGATTATTTTTACTATGTCACTGAAGTGCTAATTAAAAAAAACAAATAGAAGGAAATTACCTTAACATAATAAAAGTTATATATGAAAACCCTACTACAATCATACTCAATGGTGAAAGACTGAAAGCTTATTCCTCTAAGGTCAAGAACAAGGCAAAGATCTCACTCTCACCACTATTATTCAACATAGTCCTAGAAGTTCTAGCCAGAACAGTTAGGCAAGGAAAATAATGAAAAGTTATCCACTGAAAGGATGAAGTTAAATTATTTCTGTTTGTAGATGACATGATCTCATAATAAACACTAAAAAATTCCACCAAAAAACCTGTTAGAACTAATACACACATTCAACAAAATTGTAGGGTACAAAATTAACACACAAAAAAATTAGTTGTTTTTCTACACACTAACAATTTCCAAAAAGGAAATTAAGAAATCAATTCTCTTTACAATAGCATCAAAATGAGTAAAATACTTAGGAATAAACCTAAGGAGATAAAAGAATTGTACACTGAAAACTGAAAAACATTGCTGAAAGAAATTTAAAAAGACAAAAAAATGAAAAGACATCCTGTGTTCATGGGTTGGTAGACCTAATTTTGTTATCTATACTACCAAAAGTGATCTACAGATTCAAGGCAGTTTCTCTCAAAATCCCAATGGCACTTTTTTAGCCAAAATAGAAAAAGTTATTCCCAAATTAATATGGAATCCAAAGGGACCCTGATAACCAAAATGCTTTTGAAAAAGAAAAAGTAGGACCCACACTTCCTAATTTTAAAACATATTACAATGCTACAATGATTAAAACAGTGTGGTACTGGCATAAAAACAGACATATAGAGTAATGGAATAGAATTAAAATCCCAGAAATAAGTGTAGATTAACAAATGACCTTCAACCAAGTGCGAAGAATGCACAATGAGGAAAGGGTGGTCTCTTTAACATGATGTTGCTGAGAAAACTTGATATCCACATGCAAAAGAATGATGTTGGACCCTTATCTTACATCATATATAAAAATTAACACAAAATGGATTAAATACCTAAAACTAAGAACCCAAACTAGAAAACTCATAGAAGAAAACATAAGGGAAAAGCTTCAAGACATAGGATTTGGCAATGATTTCTTGGATATGACACCAAAAGCACAAATAACAAAAGTGAAAATAGACAAGTGGAACTACATGAAATTTAAAAGTCTTTATGCATTAAAAGACCCAGTCAACACATTCTATAAGTTACAACAAAAAGTAACTTATATTCTATAAGAGAGAAAATATTTTCAAACTATACAACTGATAAGGGGTTAATATCCACAATATATAAAGAACTCCTACAACTCAGCAATTAAAAATCCAAGTAACTCAATTTAAAAATGGAAAGAGAGCGGCCTGATAGCCCTGCCACATTGAGTGCAGCCTCCCAGGCATGCAGGTCAATGATAATCAAAGAACATTTTATGAAGAACACATTCTGTGAAAGATAAAGCTGACCAAAACTGCAGGCCTACCAATGTGTTTTGATTTTCCTAATAATTCTGCTGTCTCGAGAAGATACAAATAAATGGAAAGACATCCTGTGTCTTGGTGAAAATGAGAAAGATGAAGAACCTTATGAAACCTTTGATCCTCCTTTACATAGCCCATCTATGTACGCCAATGAAGAATTTTCCAAATATTATGGATTATCTAACCCTTCAACTCCTCCAGGAAAAGAAGAAAAAAGAGGCTCGAGGAGTTCTGAAAATGGAAGGAAGTGAAAAATAAATCTGTAAAAATGAGTGCAGAAAAGCCAGGAAGAAAATTCAAACCCATTAGCAATGAATCTGAAAGCACTGAAGAAACTGATGTGAGAAAAGTTAAATCAGTGGAGAAAATAAGGATCCAACAACACGAACCTATTCTAACCACAGCATCTTCAGACCTTTCAGAGAAACCAGCTGACTCAGTCACTTCTAAAAGATAGGACCCATTAGTGCCCAGCCTTCTGTTGAAAAAGACACACTGACAACAGAAGGTCAAGCAAAAACTCAGAAAAAAGGAAATACATCTTGAGGCAAAAGGAAGAAATCAAGAAGCGAAGCCATAGGCTTAGATATTTCCAACATCGTGCATGTTTGGTGTCTAGAAGGAAAGAAAATCAATGACATCATGGAATTGAATATTGCTTGGCCTGCATTTGAGAAAACCCTCATCCAGTATAAACACAGAATAGAATCTAAAGTTTGTAAGAAAGCCATCAATAAATGCTTAAGGAAGTCCAGATACTGAAAAATCTGGAAAGGAAGAATGCTGAGATGATTTCCGATATCAAAAAGAAAAGACAGTGTTTGACCTAAGGCCAGGATGAACTGCTTTGGTTAGAGCCACAACTGAAGCAACTACAAACAAAATATTAAGAACTTAAGGGAAGAAAAGTCTTTCCTTAGAAATGCAGCTATTTCTTATCTAATTTAAAACAGCTTTATCAGAAGTATTCAGATGTTCAGGAGGAAGAACCACACGTAAAGGAAACATGATTCATCCAAACTCCCAGGTCTGTTATCTAAAACAAGAACACTTTTGGGAGCTGAAAACCATCCATAAAATATCAGCCATCAATGAGAGAAGCTACTAGGTAAGAGACCAGTCTACTAAAACGTGCCTAGAGAAGGATTAGTCTTATGCTACTATGGTACCTTCTGAAACTGTAATTTCCGTTTTTTTTTTTGTTTGTTTGTTTGAAATGGAGTCTTGCTGTCACCCAAGCTGGAGTACAATGGCGCAATTTCGGCTCACTGCAACCTCCACTTCCCAGGTTCAAGCAATTCTCCTGTCTCAGCTTCCCGAGTAGCTGGGATTACAGGTGCATGCTACCATACCCAGGTTTTTTGGTTTGTTTGTTTTTGAGATGGAGTCTCTCTCTATTGCCCAGGCTGGAGTTGGAGTGGCACTATCTCAGCTCACTGTAACCTTCACCTCCTGAGTTCAAGTGATTCTCCTGCTTTAGGGTCCCAAGCAGATGGAAACTACAGGCACCCACCACCACACCTGGCTAATTTTTGTATTTTTTTGTAGAGATGGGGTTTCACCATGTTGGCCAGGCTGGTTTCAAACGCCTGACCTCAGGTGATCTGCCCGCCTCGGCCTCCCAAAGTGCTGGGATTACAGGTGTGAGCCGTCGTGCCTGGCCCCAGTTAATTTTTGTATTTATAATAGAGAAGGCGTTTCACCATGTTGGCCAGGCTAATCTCGAGCTCCTGACCTCAGGTGATCTGTCCACCTCAGCTTCCTGAAGTGCTGAGATTACAAGAGTGAACCACTGCGCCCAGCCCTGAAACTGTATTTTTATAAATAAATTATTTTTTGCAAAGAAAATAGGAAAAGGACTTTAATAGACATTTTTCTGAAGATATACAAATGGCCAACAAGCATAGAAAAGATGCACAATGTCACTAATCGTTAGCAAAATACAAACCAAACCACAAGAAGATACCACCTTACACCCATTAGGGTGACGACCATAAAATCAAACAGAATATAACAAGTGTTGGTGAAGATCTGGAGAAACTGGAACCTTGTGCACTGTTGGTAATAATGTAAAATGATATAGCTACTATGAAAGTACAGTGGTTTCTAAAAAATTAAAAACAGAACTGTATGATCCAGCAAGTCCACTCCTGAGTCCGGATATACTCAAAAGAACTGTAAGCAGGGTCTCCAAGAGATGTTTGTACACCTATGTTTCAAACAGCGCTATTCACGATAGTCAAGAAGTGGATGCAGCCCAAATGTCCATTGATGGATGAATAGATAAGCAAAATTTGGTAGATACATGAGGATATTTTTGAGCCTTAAAAGGGAAGGAAATCCACTCACATGCTGTATTATGGATAAGCCTTGAAGGCATTATACTAAGTGAAATAAGCCAGTTACAAAAGACAAATACTGTATAAATCTACTTATGCAAAGTCCCTAAAGCAGTCAAATTCATAGAATCAGTAGGATAATGGTTACCAGGGGATGGGGTAAGGTGGAAAAGAAAAATTAACAGGTAGAGAATTTCAAGATCTATTTTGCAACAATATAAATAAACAAACTATTGAATTGTGCACTTGAAAATGTTCAAGATGGTAAATTTTATGTTATATATTTTTTATCACAGTAAAAAATAACATGATTCTTTTCCATGTTTCTCAATTTTAATATCCTTCATCCAAAATTAAGCCTACTAATCCTCCAGCTCATCTCTAAATGTATGGTAACTTCACCAGCTGGAAGAATAATAGTTGTTACACTCCTGTGCACCCCCATTCTTCTCTCAGTACCCTACAGCAGGCTTGCCCATCATCTGGAGGACTGAATCAGTTACTATTTTCTTTCCTCAGTTAATCATAAATGGAAATAGCCTCGATTCTCTTCTTTGAAGCTTAAAATTGATATTTTTTCCTATGCCCAGTTTTCTGCATGATTCCTCTTCTGCCTGAAAATGGAAAATCCAGAGAAAAGGCAGATGACTCATGCACCTACTTTAAAAAGATATTTTTCATTTTATTGCTGATACTCTCCTATTAGTGAAACTTTTATTTCAGCCTGATCCTGAATTCTTACTTTCTATTCACATTTGGCTCAGGCAGAGCTTCATACCTGGTGCTGGTTTGGGTCATACAAGTAATTTCATGTGTAATTATGAAAATGTTATTAAAAATATGACCAAATGTTTTCTGTGGGTGTTTTTTGTTTTGTTTTTGAGACAGGGTCTCACTCTGTCACCCATTCTGATGTGCAGTGGTGTGACCATAGCTCCCTGCAGCCTCCAACTTCTGGGCTCAAATGATCCTCCAGCCTCAGCCTCCCAAGTAGCTGGGACTACAGGCATGCACCACCACACCTGGCTGATTGTCTTGTTTTGTTTTTGGTAGATATGGGGTCCCACTATGTTGCCCAGGCTGATCTTGAACTTTTGGCCTCCAGTCATCCTCTTGCCTCAGCCTCTCAAAGTGCTGTGATTATAGATTTGAGCCACCGTGCCTGGCTAGACCAAATGTTCTGATTCTCACCTCTAATAGTTTTAAACAGTTAGTTATTTCTTTCTTCAAATTTTCTTCTGCCAAGTCACGGGACCTCTCTTCAAGCTTCACTCTCTTCTCCAAGGTAAACCAGTCACACTTAAATCCCAAAGATAATCTGAGAAATTCTGCCTGTTGTCAAAATAACGTGAGGGTGAGGAGAGAAAAATGAATGTGGTCAGATGTTTCTGTTTAAAGCTGTTTTATACAGACGCAACATAATGCTGACATGCACAGGCTTCACCTGTACAGAGTCACTGCCAAGCCAAACAGCCACTGACCATAAGAGAGCTTGTGCAATAGCATGAAGTGACTGTAGCAGGTGAGTCTGGAACTTTTTTTTTTTTTTTTTTTTTTTGAGATGAAATCTCACTCTGTCACCAGGCTGGAGTGCAATGGCATGATCTCAGCTTCCTGCAACCTCTGCCTCCTGGCTTCAAGCGATTCTTCTGCCTCAGCCTCCTGAGTAGCTGAGATTACAGGCATGCACCACACCCAGCTAATTTTTTGTATTTCTAGTAGAGACGGAGTTTCACCATGTTGGCCAGGATGGTCTCGATGTCCTGACCTCATGCTCCACCTGCCCCGGCCTCCCAAAGTGCTAGGGTTACAGGTGTGAGCCACCACGCCCAACCTGGAACACTTTTTTAAAAGGAAAAAAATTTGCTTTAAACTCACCTCAACCTCCTTCTCATTAGCAGAAGTGCTGTAGGATAAGATAAAAAACATATTCAGACATAATACAACAGAAAAATAAAACATGTTAACAAGCTACATGAAGAAGCACTTACTTGTCACTTTGTCTAAAGTTAACTGATTTCACAGTGGTTACAGGAAGAGGGGAAACCGCAGAGTCTGTTAAAAGACAATAAAATAGTATTTGGGTAAAAAGGCTTAACATGTAAAAGCATGTCTGATCTAATGTTATATCTCCACTAAACAAAGGTGTTTCATTTAAATGTGTCTGAGATGAGAGCCAGCTAATAATGTGTGCACTTGAATTACGTTATGCTAAGCTACTGGGATAAAAATGACATTAAAATCATTGGTTTATACCTCAGCATGTGAATAGTCTTTCAGACTTAAAGATGTGTCAGAATCAAGCAACAGCCCAATTTGTTCCCTTTGCATTTGCATGGTTTTTTTTTTTTTTTTTTTTTTTTTATATGAAGTCTTACTCTTGCAGTCCAGGTTGGAGTGCAATGGCACAATCTTGGCTGACTGCAACCTGGGTTCAAGTGATTCTCCCGCCTCAGCCTCCTGAGTAGCTGGGATTACAGGCACCCACCACCACACCTGGCTACGTTTTATATTTTTAGTAGAGATGGGGTTTCACCATGTTGGCCAGGTTGGTCTCGAACTCCTGACCTCAGGTAATCCACCCACCTTGGCCTCACAAAGTGCTGGGATTACAGGCGTGAGCCACCATGCCTGGCCTACATGTTTGTTATACTTGATCCCATGGCAAAAGCCTAAACCTCCTACTGGTATCCTGGTTCTTCTTTGGATCAAGGTTTTATTAGCAGTAGCAAGAACAGTAGTAGTAATAATACTGGTAACAATAACAGTGACAATAAACATGGCATCAACCATGGCTTTATTATATTGCCAGGGCCAGAGCAAAGCAGTTCACACATATGATTTTATGACAACTTTACCAAGGACAATGCATTAGTTATTAAGAGCATTGGATTTAAAGCCAAACAAACTTGGTTTAAATCCGAGCTTTGATTCTTACAGTTAAGTGATCTTGAACAAGTCACAAACTTATTAAGCCATCTACAAGATAAGATTGATAATATTTTTTTATAATAGTAGCTAACTTTTATGAGAACTTTTGTGCCAGGCACTTTTCTTTTTTTAACTCTGTTGCCCTGGTTAGAGTGCAATGGAGCAATCGTGGCTCACTGCAAGCAACCTCCACCTCCCGGGTTCAAGTGATTCTCCTGCCTCAGCCTCCTGAGTAGCTGAGATTACAGGCACATGCCACCATGCTCAGCTAATTTTTGTATTTTTAGTAGAGATGGGGTTTTGCCATGTTGGCCAGGCTGGTCTTGAATGCCTGACCTTGTGATATGCCTGCCTCAGTATCCCAAAGTGCTGGGATTACAGGCGTGAGCCACCGCACCTGGCCTGTGCCAGCCACTTTTCTAAGTGCTTCACATATATTAATTTAATCAATCCTCACAGTGAACCTTCTGTTGTAGATATTTTATTGTTCACATTTTACAGGCTACATAACTGAATGACAGTTTACCACTTCACATAGTATTTGGAGGACTAAATAAAACTAGGCACATGAAATTAGCCTAGTTCTTAGCCTAGAATATATTCTCAATTAAGTGTACTTTTCTTCTCTTCATTTTCCTCTTGCAAATGAGAAAACTGAGACTTGAAATTAAATAACTTTCCAAAATCACAAAGCTAGTCCAGAGGTTGATCCCCATGTAGAATCTATATGACTCCAAAGCCTGAACTCTGTTCACTATTCCATCCTAATGGAGATAGGCAAAGGAGGAAAGCATACTAGCACTTATTCTGTAAATAGTGGCTTTACTTTTAGATGGGATACTAAAAAAGAACTCAAAGGAGAGCACAGCATTTGCTATCAGTATTGCCTTGGTCCTTAGTTCACAGTAGAGCACGAGTTATGACAAGTTTTCTGGGACCAAACAGTCAACGTGGCTTTTTAAAAGTGATACCAATGGAATCAATAATTGGTCCTATTTGCTGACCTTATCTAGAGATGCAGAATTTGTAGGTGACATACCTTTCCTCAGACAGATTTCACCCACAAAAATAGCAGCCGAGAACAAAAGTTCACATGGGGATTCAGAGGAACACTCCTTACCTCCTGAAGCACGTTCTTTTTTATGTTCTTCTATTGTTTCTGGTTTCTCTTTGGCTTCCTAAAATCATAAGGAGATTTTTATTTCTGTACATAGAGTGGAAATCCTTCATAACCAGTCATTTTCCTACTTCCTGTCCTCTCCTAAGCCTATTCTGACAAAAGCACTCTACAACAGCACTCCCCAATCTTTTTGGTACCGGGGACCAGTTTCCTGGAAGATAATTTTTCCGTGGGGGTGGAGTGGCAGTGGGGTGGGGGGAAATAGTTTCAGGATGAAACTGTTCCACCTCAGATCATCAGGTGTTAGATTCTCATAAGCAGCATGAAATCTAGATGCCTCGCTTGCATAGTTCACAATAGGGTTTGTGCTCCTATGAGAAGCTAATGCCGCTGATTTGACAGGAGGCGGAGCTCCGGTGCTCCCTGGCCTGCTCTCACCTCCTGCTGTACGGCGCAATTCCTAACAGGCCACAGATGGGTTCTGATCCCTGGCTCAGGGGTTGAGGACCCCTGCTCTATAGTATTTAAAGCTGTTAAGAAGGAAATAAAATTGGCTGCAAGGGGGCTTCCAATCTATTTGAAGCAAAAACATGAAAAGATGCAAACATGACACGAATTACAACAATGCAAACCAGGATTCATTGCCAAATAAATAAAATAAATAAACAAGTGCTTTGAATAGGAAAGAGATGGCCAGGCATGGTGGCTCAAGCCTGTAATCCCAGCACTTGGGTGGTTCACCTGAGGTCAGGAGTTCAAGACTAGCTTGGCCAATATGGCGAAACCCAGTCTCTACTAAAAATACAAAATTAGCAAGGTGTGGTGGTGTGGGCCTATAATCCCAGCTACTCAGAAGCTGAGGCAGGAGAATCGCTTGAACTCGGGAGGCAGAGGTTGCAGTGAGCTGAGATCATGCCATTGCACTCCAGCCTGGGCAACAATGTGAGATTCCATCTCAAAAAAAAAAAAAAAAAAAAAAGGCAGGAGAGTGGCACCATGACACCATGACTTGGACTAGCACAAGGAACATGCCGCAGATTGGTGAAGAAGTAGGACTGGATGGCTAAAGAGGTAAGGTGTAGGTGATACAGGGCTATCACATGTGGCTTTCTAGATAGGTTTTTGGAGAAATTGTGACAAAGATGGCTGCTAAGACAGTGTTATGTTAGGCTTTTAGTGCATATAGATGTGTTTTAAGGTCACATAACGAGTCGTGTGTGGCTGCTGTTTCCAGTTCTTCCTCTTCCATTCATGATCAATTACCTACTCCACCCTTTTAGGCAACACTCCAAAGAAAGTGTTCTCATGAGCTATCTGAATTCCTATTGCCAAATCCCATGGCTAATTTTCAGTCTTGATCTTACTTGACCTTACTATAGCATCTAAAATGATCTATAGCATCCCTTCTTGAAGGGTTTTTCCCCTCGATTTCCCTCTTATGATGCCCCAGCCCCGCATCACTACAACAGCCCCTTCTCAGTCTCCTCTGCCTTCTCTAGTAGCTATTGTTAGCCACGATTCCTTTATCTTCAATGCTCCCTTCCTTCCTGCCACAGTCCCTGGGAAATCTCATCCACACACTTGGGTGTTTGCTGGTAACTCACAAATATGTGTCTGCTTTCAAAAGCTGCACAGGTGAGTTTATGAATATGGATGTGTAGCCACATATAAAATCTCCTAGACTACTGATGTCTCAGATCAGTCTGAAATTTGACTTGTCTGAAACTGATCTTATTTTACCCCACAAATTCTACTGTGTAGTCACATATAAAATCTCCTTACAGACTATTGATGACTCATATCAACCTGAAGTTTGACTTGTCTGAAACTGATCTTATTTTATCCCACAAATTCTACTCTTCCTCCTCTTCCTCTACTGTCATATTATTCTACTCACTCTGTAGGTTGAGCCATCAGCCTGGGCATCTACGTTTTCCCTTACCCCTGACATGACATCATCCTCTGTGAATTCTACTCCTTAATAGTTCTCAAATGTATCTCCTCTTCTGCACCTTCACTAAATTCATACTACCTTCATCTCATCTAAATTATTGCCTGTAATATTCTAACCAGTCCCACCATCTCTAATGGCAAATTGATCCATTATTTTAAAAGTGTCTTTATGTCTTTATTTTTTTGAGATGAGAAGGAATTTTCTCAGAAGAGTCTACTATGAAATGCTATAGGACTTGAATTTTCCTCTGTTCATTTTTTCCTAGGGACAACCATTTTCAGCATAGGTACTAGCCAACGCTATATACTACTCCTACCTTTACAGCTGGCCCTCTGGATGTGTGGGTTTGCATCTATGGATTTTTAAAAAAATGTAGTTAGGTCAACAATGGTTGTATCTGCACTGAACACACAGATTTCTTTTCTTGTCATTATAACTATTTACATAGCATTTACACTGTATTAGGTATCATAAGTAATCTAGAGAGGATGAAAAGTAGATAAGAGGATGTGTTAGTAATACAAGATAGGGGTACAGAAGTGCTGGATAGAGAAAGGCAGGGTCCCTGGTAAGGGTTCCACCCTCAGGCCTGTGCCCACAGACCTAAATGAGAACAAGCACTCCTATTTTTGTGCCTTAATGTTGCATTTTCGAAGACCACTCTGGCTCACCACACCCCTCATCCTGTGACAACATAAACCTGGGACCTTAGCGGGCACACAACACCAGCAAACTAGGACACTGGCAGACTGGCAATGGTGGAATGACTATGGCAGAGAAAAAGAGAATAGGAGGGATGTCTGGACACCAAGGGGATTTCAGCCTGGGACAGTCAGGGAAGAGTATGGCCTCTGGGCAGCCCGACTCCAGGGGAATAGCACCTTCCCACTCCATCCCCTCTTCCAGCTCCCCATCCGTCTCACTGAGAGCCACCTCCACTACTCAATAAACCTTGCATTCATCCTTCCAGCTGGTGTGTGATCTAATTCTTTTGGGACACTGGACAAGAGCTCAAGATGCAGAAAGCTGTCACATTGGCCTTCTGTCCTTGTGATAAGGCCGAGGATCCATTGAGCTAATTAACACACAAACTGTCTGCAGATGGCAAATCTGAAAGAGCTTTGTAACACACACCCACTTGGATTTTGGAAATCACAGACGCTTACCCCTAGACACTACCTGGGGCCAGAGCCCAAAAGCCCTCACCCTGGCCTCTAAACCTGCCGGTCTGCATGCTCCTCCTAGGGGTTTGTGCTGTGGGGTGACCAAGCAGGCAAGCCACACCACTGTTGCACGTCCTGCAAGGAGAATCAGGAAACTCTCCCGTTTCATTAGGTTACATGCAAATACTATGCAATTTTATATAAGAGACTTGGGCATTCTCTGATTTTGGTATCTGAGACAGTCTTGGAATCAATCCCCTGTGGATTACGAAGGACACAAATGACATCATGTCATTGTTCCAAATCACATATCCAATCATTTAACTAGCTTCAGAATGAAATGATGAAAAATTCTCATCTACTTTCCTGCTCCAAGTCTGTGCCATGGCCTCCTCTTAACTTGAGTTATCTTGTATGGGTTTCTGTTTTTCGCAACCAAGTACATAACTAGAACGATGCTTGTATGTTGAGAAGAAATTAACAATACACACACAGAAACACACACACACACACACACACACACACACACACACAAACTCCACACATACAACAGAGAGACCAAGATATAAACAAGATCCTTGAAGAATCATGGAATTGGATCTGTAGCTACTCATAAATGATTATTAATTCATAGACATGGAAATAAGTCTTCTCTCTCTCTTTCTTTTTGAGACAGGGTTGTGCTCTGTTGCTCAGGCTGGGGTACAGTGGTGCAATCATGGCTCACTGCAGCCTAAACCTCCTGGGCTCAAGTGATCCATCTGCCTTGGCCTCCCATATAGCTGGGACAACAGTCATGTACCACCATACCCAGCAGATTTGTTTTTATGTTTTGTAGAAACAGGGTCTCCCTATGTTACACAGGCTGGTCTTAAACTCTTAGGTTCAAGCAATCCTTCCACCTCAGTCTCCCAAAATGCTGGGATTACAGGCATGAGCCATCACTCTGGCCCTAATGAGATTTTTCTTTAAGGAAATAATTTAATTCTTTTCTCTAATAATTTCCAGCTATCCTTATGTTTTGTAGAGCTTTACTATGCAACTGTAGAACATTCAATGCCACTCACACGGTACCTCCTCCGTGACATGTTTTCTGGCCTGCAATCTCAAGCATTTTTCCTTTCAAATCACAAAACACACTCTAATTATTGAGTAATTATCTGTTTCTTCACCTGATTAGAACATATCATTAGGATAGATATCATTGTTTTATTCAAATTCATTTATTAATGCATTCATTTATTTAAGCAGTCCTCTACAGACAAATAGCTTGTTTCCAATTGACTTTTGATGAATAAATGAGTGAGTGAATGAATGAATGATAAATCAAGTTGGAGCTTGGAGGTCCTAGCTCTGACTCTGTTGTGTGACCTTGGACAAGTCACAAAAACACTTTAGCCTCAACTACTTCACCTATAAAATATTAAATTATATGAATTTCATAATATTTCGAAAGGATAAATGAGATAATACTTTTAAGAGTACTTTGTAAACTTAAAGGGACAGTTCTACCATTGTAAGATATTATCATCTTTGTTGTGAACATGCATATTTCCTTACCAGATTTAATACGGTTTTATCCTTACTCGTAGAGTCTTGGAATGCAGTAATATCATGAGCTGGACTTGTGCCTATGAGAAACAGGAAACACACAAAACAGTTGGGGGGAGCAGGAACAAGTAAGAGGAGAAAATAGTGAGGGTGGCAATAGGACTGACCCGTAACTGACAAAGTTCTTAACATATGAGACAAATTATGAACTACACAAAATGTATATGTGCCCATTGACTCAGAATTGGGATGGAGCAGCTATGGCCAGAGAAGATGTCTTAAAAGAAATGAATGTCTGTATAAATGGCTTTCAAAGAGTAGGATTTTTTAAAAAATCCCTTTTTAGGCTGATGCTGTGTTTTTTAATGGAACACATTACTGGCATAATAAAAAATGGATGGCAGAAAGATGAACAGTTAGTAACTTAGTAGCTTTTTAAATAGTTTTACAAGTCTTCTTTCAAAATTATATATGTAAGGCTGATAATAAAAAGTAGAATATCCTTCTAAAACACGGTACCTTTGTAAATAAAATGTCATGAAACAAAGAAGAAAAGATGCACTTTTAACTTGTGCCATTCCTTTTGGTAATTTCTGTTTATTTTTATGTACTTTATTTGTACTGATATGTACCGGATAATTATTCTCCTGTTTACTCAATCCATTGTCCTACATTTAGTTCACTGCAGGCACAAAGGTCAGCAGATACAAATATGGTTTAGTATTTAAAGCGTGTATTATATTTGTAAAATTTATATGGAAATAAGAATAAAATGGTAAGCAGTTTCTTCAAAGCTATACAAGTTTTTTTCCCTATGAAAATTTTATTTTAGTTCCTTTTTTTTTTTTTTTCAGAGGGTCTCACTCTGCTACCCAGGCTGGAGTGCAATGACTCGATCTCAGCTCACTGCGACCTCTGCTTCCCAGGCTCAAGCGATCCTACCACTTCAGCCTCCCAAGTAGCTGGGACTGCAGCCATGCACCACCATGCTCAGCTAATTTTTGTATTTTTTGCAGAGACAGGGTTTCACCATGTTGCCCAGGCTGGTCTTGAACTCCTGAGTTCAAGAAGTCCTGCTGCCTCAGCCTCCCAAAGTTCTGAGATTATAGGCATGAGCCACATGACCAGCCTTTATTTTAATTTAAAAAAGTTTTTAGGGCAAATAGTAGATTCATACAGTTCATCAATCAAAGAGTGTAAAAATCTTTTCCAGCGAAAATGTTTCCTCCCATCCATGACTTCCAGAAATCCAGTTTATCTCCCTAGACACAATGTTACTAATTTTTGTCTAGTTTTCCAGGGACATTTTACACATACATAAAAACTTTTTCTTCGAGAGCAGCCTAGGAAACAGTGAGACCCCATCTTCACTTTTTTTTTAATTAGTCAAACATGATGACTTGCACCCGTAATCCCAACTACTGAGGAAACTGGGACAGGATAAGGGCTTGAGCCCAGGACGTCGAGGCTGCAGTGAGCTATGATTGTAACACTGCACTCCAGCCTGGGCAACAGAGCAAGACCATCCCCACCTACACCAAAACCCAACTTTTTCTATCCTTTTTTAACAAAATTTTGTTCACTCTCCATAACATTCTGTACTTTTCCCCCCAAGAAACAGTAGTCCTTTTATATAATTGCAAGAAAAAAGTCTCCTTATTCATGTTTTTATGCCTGCAAATTAGTATTCGATTACATGGATATGCCAAAACATAATCTTCTGTTGGTAGAAATTCTAACTTGTTTCTCACATTTTGTCATTATAGATAACGCTGCAATATATAAGCTTTTGCATATGTCATTTGGGATGTGTATACATATTATCTATAGGATAAATTCCTGGAAGATGAATAGTTGTATCAATGGATATATACTTTTAACATTTTGATAGCGACTGGAACATTTTTCTTCATATTACAGTACCCCCCATCCAAGGTTTCACTTGCTGCGGTTTCAGTTACCTACTGTCAACCATGGTCTGAAAATATGACCTACAATAATATATTTTGAGAGAGAGAGAAAGACCACATTCACCTAACTTTTCTTACAATATATTGTCAAAATGGTTCTATTACTAGTTCTTGTTGTTAATATCTAATTAACAAATTAAACTTATTGTAGGTATGTCTATATAGGCAAAAACATACTGTATATAGGGTTGGGCACTATCATTAGTTCTGGGAAGCCACTAGGGGGTCTTGGAATGCAGCCCCAATGAATAAAAGGGGACTGCTATAGTTATAACACAAAGTTACATTTCCTACGGCACTTTTCTTTTGCCCTTCCAACTTTACCAACAGAGTATAATCAAACTTGTGCATCTCTGTCTATACAATAGGTGAAAAATGGAACCTTGGTGTATCTTCACTTAAAAGATGTACTTATTCGATGTGAGGTGGAATACAAAGACATTCTGTAATTAACCCATGAAATGAATTCCATTTCTGCAATTTTGTGACTATTCTAGTTTGGCACCTACATCTCAAACTTAAATGTTGACTTTAAACAATGCAATGAATTTTCCTCAATTGACTTTTTTTTTTTTTTTTTTTTTTTTTTTTTTTTTTTTAGTGGGAATTAGAGCCTATTCCTCCCATGAATGTTTACTAAAGTGGTGTCTCACTGAGAATGGTCAAGAATAACTATTTTGTTTTCAGAGTCAAGTAGCAGAAAAGGACCTAACAAACCACCTGGTTAGTCCTTTTGCCTCTGGGTAGACCGTGGCTAATTGCTCCATCCTTCTAACCTGATAAATTTGAACTAGGATTCCAAGAATTTCCTAAGCAGGTGATGTTTCTTCTGTGCCACAGCTGAAAACCAGTAAATTCTAGTCAATCTTTGCCATAGGAAATATTTGTCCTGTTACAATATATCATAATTTTTGTTCTGCCTATAAAATTGAAAACAAAAATGGTACCATCCTTATATGTGAAGCCCATGGTTAGTTACCACTTAGACTTCTTTTCTGCAGACTACATGTTCAAAATTATTTTATAAGAATTATTTTACGAAAAAATAATATTAATATTATTGAGCTAGTGTGGATAGCTGCTTCACTAGCTTATAGACTTGGTTAGTGTTTAGAATGAAAATGATGCTTATACCTGTCAACATTTTACCTTGGGCCTTTATCATCGGAGAAGCTGATCTTGTATCCTCCTCTTTCTTACTGTCAAGGTCACAAGTAGCCATATTCAGAATTTCTAATCCAGGATCTGTCAACAGGAAGAAACAAATGGTGTGAATACTATGCAAAAAGAGTATTTGCCTACGTTCTCATTTGTACACACCCCAGCAGGCCACAGGACTTCAGGCTGAAAGCTATAATACTAACACTCTATTTTAATATTATTTCCAAATCCACTTACCACTTGAAGTTATAGTACTGTCTGTCGATGAAGTGGGTCTGGGTAACGGTAGTGATGAATGTTCCCTGCCAAAAAGATAGCAAAAATATTTTGGAGTGTCAGGTCCAAATAATTCTCTTAAAACCAATGAAATATGCATACGAATTCACAAACACAACACAAACAGGCAAACCTGGACTGCAGCAGGCTCTCAGAACACACGCGTTCAACACCATTCTCCTTAAAGAAAAAGAAAGGAGACACAGGTTCAACGATTTGACATTTTCCATTCCAAAGAAGTTGTTTTAAGCAAACATTTTCATACAATTCTAAATGAACCCATATTTACTCTGCTCTTTTGGAAATTATATGGGAATGGGACGGTATAAGGCAGATGGATATACACACTTCCTCAAAGCTGTATTTACCCAAAAATCCAATACTAAGTATATTTACAAGTCTGATATTTAAAGAAAACCTGATAAAAATTTTGGGCAAAACAAATTCTAAACTCAAAGGGCAGATAGGGTTTATTTCATAAACTTAAGTTTTCTTTAAACAGAAAATTTTACAAGGGCATAAAACATTTCTATGTGTGTGAATATTACTCAACCTAAAATTTTTGACCTGGTGATTTTAAAACTGATCTCAGTTTTCTAGTTAGAAAGATCATGCATTTCAAACTTAATCAGTTTCTCAAAGATCTGAAGGATTACATCTAAATCAGCACCTACTACTTGATGCCCAAAAAGAGCTTATCAAAATTATAGTCCCAGTCTGCCAGGGCAAGTGTTTGAAAGTTTCACATGAACCTCTTAATTTCTACAAGGAATTCCTATTTTGGGGGTAACTTTAAGGCATTAAGGTTGTACAACTTTCTTTTTCAAAAAATACAGTGAGAACATAGTTTCCTTTCTAATAACAAGCTTTTCTAGTATATTATTTTAATTATTTGATTTAGTCCAGAAAATAAACTGAAATTCAATAAATTAAAACTGAAATCATTCAGACATATCGAAAGCCTGAACAAGGTAAAAAGAAGGCATTTAGGCATTTAGGTATTCCATAATCAAGCAGAACTTATTAACTGTCACAACCAACAATCGATACCCCTGGGGGAATATTGTATATCACACACGGTATTTAGAATCATTCCGAGAAAGTAACTCCCATAGTCACAGACAACTACAGGTTTACTAAGGGTTTGCTGAATTTGTATTTACCCAATACAATGACAGCAACTTATATAGGTTTAGCACATTAAAATTTACGAGAGCCCTTTAATGTATCATCTCATTTAATTCTCCCAACAACATTAGTAGTAGGTTTTAGCAAGAAAAGATTTACTTATTGCAGGTAATGAAGTGAAGGCCAGTAAATAAAGTAATTTCCTGAGACCAGTCAGAATGGTGGAGCCAGCTTTCAAACACATATCGAACTAAATATTGTGTGCTCTCCACTGTAAACAAAACCAACTTGGGCATACCCTAACCCAGGCTACTGGAGAGGAAAAGACTTTTCATGATTTTACTATAAACTTTTAAGATATTCACCTCACATGTTTAGAAAAATCCACAATAAACTTGCAAAGCAAGAATTTATACCTAACACTCCTGTATCAGTGATGTTGGTCAACCTTTTTAATTTCATTTTGTCTCTGCCTTAAATGACTTTGGGTCAGATCATACATGACTGAAGCTCCTCAAGACATCAGTTTAATTTAATTCAACAAACTTTCATCCAAATCCCACTTTGTGCTAGGAACAGTGACAAGGGTTAAAGATGATATACAAAACCACTGTTCTTGTCCTGAAGAAGCATGTAGGCCAGACAGGGAGAGAAATATATAATACAAGCCCTACTCTATAACTTACAAGCAACATGCCACAGAGGAAAGTAATATGCACAGAGCAGAATTAACAGATTGGGGATATCTGAATTTTTATTATTATTATTTTTTTGAGACAGATCTTTGCTCTGTCACCAGGCTGGAGTGCAATGGTGCAATCTTGGCTCACTGCAACCTCTGCCTCCTGGATTCAAGCAATTCCCCTGCCTCAGCCTCCCAAGTAGCTGGGACTACAGGCACATACCACCATGCCCAGCTAATGTTTTAGTAGAGACAGGGTTTCACCATGTTGTCCAGGATGGTCTCGATATCCTGCCCTCCTGATTCGCCTGCTTCGGCCTCCCAAAGTGTTGGGATTACAGGCGTGAGCTACCACGCCTGGCCTGAATTAAATTTTAAAGAGAAATTGTACCTTAAATTGTAATTGCCCTATTTTAAAAATATTTAAATAAATTGTATTGGTAATTTGTATACGTTTATTTAACTATACTGTTATGTGTGTAATGAGCCAGGCATGGTGGCACATGCCTGTATTCTCAATACTGTGGGAGGCCGAGGTGGACGGACTGTTTGAGGCCAGGATTTTGAGAACAACCTGATCAACATGACAATAGCCCATCTCTACTAAAAACAATAGCAGGGCACAGTGGCACACACCTGTGATCCCAGTTACTTGGGAAGGTGAGACGGGAGGATTGCTTGAGCCCAGGTGGTTGAGGTTGCAGTGAGCTGTGATCTTAGCACTGCACTCCAGCCTGGGTGACAGAGCAAGATCTTGCTTTACAAAAAATAAAAAAAGAAAACAAAAGAAAGGAAGCTATAAAAATTGGAGAAAACTAAATATCCTTCAGTTTTATTGAGTGTAACATTTCATAAAAATCAATAAGAATTGATTTCTTAATAATAATAAAGGTTAATATTCTAACACATATAAAAACATTGTTATTATGTGTGGCATGAAATAACATTTATTATTACACTATAACTAAAAAACACTGTTGTCAGAAAAGCCTTCATTTTGTATCTGTCAAAATTATGGATATTCATATTTAAGAAATATGAAAGAGAAAAAGAGAATGCAGTTCTTATTTTCTAATCCATTATACCAGTTTCCAGTTTGGTGAAAAGGGAGCACATCATTTCTGCAAACCTTTTCAAACAAAAAGTCTAATTATGATGTAAAGTCAAAGTAATAAATACAGTAAAAATACGGTTTGCCTCCATTATGTTACATATCAGCCACATTTGCTTTTATGCTCTGTGTTATGCCTTCTTTTGCCCTATGCCTTAGATGTGAAACACTGTAGTTAGAAGTCTTTCAATAAATACACATATTTATTGATTACAGAACTAATTATGTGATTTTGGAGAAATTGCCTATGTTTAGCAGCCATATATTACTACATTGTTCTGAAACAGTAGCAAGGTAAGCAACTGGATATTATTCTCAAATCACTCATCTTTATAAAACTCAGTGATCAGAAAACAACCCAATATACAACATATCCCAATCCTGAGTTTTCCTAAGTTTGGTCTAATGAGATTTTTTTTCTTCTTACACGAAAAACCAAAGTAAAGATTTTTTAAAAACGATCTGGTTTCAGATTTAGGATGGACAGTTCATGAAAACTGAAGATGAAGCCTTCAAAGGCTTGGGGCAAAAACTTTCCACAATTGGGCTCTTCCAGCTTCTAAAGTCACCTCTATTTAAACCAGCACACACCAACTGTGACAGCTGGACAGATCATGAGAAAGATAATCTACTAGATATAATTTAAAATCAATGAAAATCAAGCATAAGAAAGTTCAGATGAGAGATTTACTTACATGTAGAAGATTGGCTCAAGTCAATGAATCTAACACATGCCAACAGCAGAGAGCAGGGAGAACGCTCTTTCTGTCCAAGCCATTCAAATATTAACCTGCATAACATTTACATGAAAAATCCATGGTCCAGCCCATTTGCTTTTGACAGCAAGAGTCTAATGTAGGGTGAGGTAGCAAAGGTACTCATGGAAAAAATGAAACAGATTCTCCCATGGGCTGGGTCAGCAAACACAGGAGACACACACACACACACACACACACACAAACACGGCAGTATTATTTCAATATTTTGATAGAAGAACAACAATAAAAAATAACTTTTATGATTAATTGACCTAATCTCCTGGGATTACTTTATTTTTGCTCTTTCATATGAAATACTAAAATACAGATTTTGTGATCAGAAACCTTGTACTAATAAACATTTATGATTCCAATGTAATGTTCACTATTTGATCCAGTTTAGGCAACTGACGATAGTTAAATAAATTAATGTGATTTTCTGAGAATAAAAAAGTAACAAAAAGAGTCTATATAGACTTACTTCTGATTTGATTCAGTGTCTGTTTAAATGTCCCCAAAAGAGGAAGAATGCTAAGTTGAATTTTAAACAATTAGAACTACTGGAACCTAAACAAAGCTAAATTTGCTTATAGGTTTGCCTTTTTTTTTTTTTTTTTAGTCCTAACTAAAGTATACCACACCCTCAGATCTACAAGACACACCCACCACTTTCAGGTTCATTTATAATACAGTTATCAGTCAACTTCTACATGTTCCAATTTTGCAACTGGCAATGTTATTTGTTCTCCAAGGTTATTAATGCTGCACCCACACACAACTTGAAAGAACAGGATAAACCATGGCCAGAACATCTGAGATATTTTTAAATTGATCCTGTTCTTGGCCTTAATAAATCACCTCCTCCCAGTGATAGTGTATCTTAGACAAAAACATGTAATAACATGAAGGATAACTCAAAGAGAGACAAGACACTTAATATTTGGTATATGTAATTTTTTTTAAAAAGCCAAAAGAAAAACAGAGAAACTCATCTCCAGATCACTGGCCTGTTTCAAGATACCCTCTGCCTTCATGCTGCTGATAATTCTGATTCTGGGTGATATGAGCAGCTAGTTTTCTTTTTGAGCGCTTACTATGACCCAGGTATTCTGCACACATTACAGAGTATCTTGGTGGGGTCAGAGCTGAGACTGAAGTACAGTGGAAGGAAGAATCAATTTTGTTGTCACAGAACAGCGTGGACAACAAACCAAAAGAACTGCGGAGATGTGAGTGGTGAAACCAGCTTCTTTGCGCCACATTTTCTTGAGAGATTAAAAGTCTGCTTAGAAGCCACTAGTCACTGAGGCACAGGGATATATTCAGTATGCTCCTCTGGAGATTACTGGAAATGTCGGGAAGCAACTCCTTGAAAAGAAAGACTTTCTTAGTCATCAGCAAGTGGGGAAACAAGGCACACAGAGGCAGTGTCTTGCCTGTAAATATAACTGACCTACTTGGTCTTTTCCATGGACTGGTTAGGTCAGAAACAGTGATACAG